GCAAATTGGATAAAAAGTAAAGACACATCGGTGTGCTGTAATCAGAAAACTTGTCTCATGTGCAGGGACACACATAGGCTCAAAATGAAGGGATGGAGGAAGATTTCTCAAGCAAATGGAGAGCAAAAAAAAAAAAAAAAACCCAGGAGTTGCAATCCTAGTCTCTGATAAAATAGACTTTAAACCAAGAAAGGTCAAAACAGACACAGAAGGACATTACATAGTGGTAAAAGGATCAATGCAACAAGAAGAGCTAACAATCCTAAATATATATGCACCCAATACAGGAGCACCTAGATACACAAAGCAAGTTCTAAATGACCTACAAAGAGACTTAGACTCCTACACAATAATAGTGGGAGACTTTAACACTCCACTGTCAATATTAGACAGATCAACAAGACAGAAAATTAACAAGGATATCCAGGACTTGAACTCAGATCTGGACCAAGCAATCCTAACAGACATAAACAGAACTCTCCACCCCAAATACACAGAATATACATTTTTCTCAGCATCACATCACACCAACTCTAAAATTGACCACATAATTGGAAGTCAATCACTCCTCAGCAAATGCAAAAGAACAGAAATCATAACAAACAGTCTCTCAGCCCACAGTGCAATCAAATTAGAACTCAGGATTATGAAACTAACCCAGAACCACACAACTTCATAGAAACTGAACAACTGGCTCTTGAATGTTGACTAAATAAACAATGAAATGAAGGCAGAAATAAAGATGTTCTTCGAAACCAATGAGAACTGAGACACAATGTACCAGAATCTCTGGGACACATTTAAAGCAGTGTCTGGAGGAAAATTTATAGCAATAAGTGCCCACATAAGAAGCAAGGAAAGATCTAAAAGCAACACCCTATCATCAAAATTGAAAGAGCTAGAGGAGCAAGATCAAAAAAACTCAAAAGCTAGCAGAAGACAAGAAATAACCAAGATCAGAGCAGAACTGAGAGATAGAGACAAAAAAATTAATAAATCCAGGAGCTGTTTTTTTGAAAAGATCAACAAAATAGACAGACCGCTAGCCAGATTAATAAAAAAAAAAGAGAGAATAATCAAATAGATGCAATAAAAAACAATAAAGGGTATATTACCATAGATTCCACAAAAATACAAACTACAATCAGAGATTACTGCAAACATCTCTATGCTCACAAATCAGTAAACCTGGAGGAAATGGATAAATTCCTGGACCCTTGCACCCTCCCAAGCCTAAACCAGGAAGAAGTCGAGACTCTGAATAGACCAATAACAAGGGCTGAAGTTTAGGCAGCAATTAAAAGCCTACCAACTAAAAAAAGCCCAGGTCCAGACTGGTTCACAGCCGAATTCTACCAGACATACAAAGAGGAGCTGGTACCACTCTTTCTGAAACTATTCCAAACAATACAAAAAGAGGGAACTCTCCACAAATCATTTTATGAGACCAACATCATCCTGATACCAAAACCCGGCAGAGACTCAACAAGAAAGGAAAACTTCAGGCCAATATCCATGATGAACATATATGCAAAAATCTTCAATAAAATACTGGCAAACCAATTGCAACAGCACATCAAAAAGCTTATCCATCACAGGCAAGTAGGTTTCATCCCAGGGATGCAAGGCTGGTTCAACATATGCAAGTCTATAAATGTAATTCACTGCATAAACAGAACCAAAGGCAAAACCTACATGATTATCTCAATAGATGCAGAAAAGGCCTTTGACAAAATTCAACAGCCCTTTATGCTAAAAACTCTCAATAAACTAGGTATCGATGGAACATATCTCAAAATAATAAAACTTATTTACGACAAACCCACAGCCAAAATCTTACTGAATGGGCAAAACCTGGAAGCATTCCCTTTGATATCTGGCACTAGACAAGGATGCCCTCTCTCACCACTCCTATTCAATATAGTACTGGAAGTTCTAGCCAGAGCAATCAGGCAAGAAAAAGAAGTAAAGCGTATTCAATTAGGAAAAGAGGAAGTCAAATTGTCTCTATTTGCAGATGACATGATTTTATATTTAGAAGACCCTATCATCTCAGCCCAAAATCTCCTGAAACTGATAAGCAACTTCAGCAGTCTCAGGATACAAAAATCAATGTGGAAAAATCACAAGCATTCCTATACACCAATAAAAGACTAACAGAGAGACAAATCAAGAGAAAACTCCCTTTCACAACTGCTACAAAGAGAATAAAATAACTAGGAATACAACTAACAAAGGATGTAAAGGATCTCTTCAAGGAGAACTACAAACCACTGCTCAATGAAGTAAGAGAGGACACAAACAGATGGAGAAACATTCCATGCTCATGGTTAGGAAGAATCAGTATGGTGAAAATGGCCATATTGCCCAAAGTAATTTATAAATTCAACACTATCCCCATCAAGCTACCAATGACCTTCTTCACAGAACTGGAAAAACCCACTTTAAACTTCATATATAACCAAAGGGAGCCTGCATAGCCAAGTCAATTCTAAGCAAAAAGAACAAAGCTGGAGGCACCATGCTACCTGACTTCAAACTATACTATAGGGCTACAGTAATCAAAACAGCATGGTACTGGTACCAAAGCAGAGATCTAGACCAATGGAACAGAACAGAGGCCTCGGAGGCAATGCCACACATCTACAACCATCTGATCTTTGACAAACATGACAAAAACAAGCAATGGGGAAAAGATTCCGTGTTTAATAAATGGTGTTGGGAAAACTGGCTAGCCATGTGCAGAAAGCAGAAACTGGATCCCTTTCTGACACCTTACACTAAAATTAACTCCAGATGGATTAAAGACTTAAACATAAGGCCTAACACCATAAAAACCCTAGAAGAAAACCTAGGCAAAACCATTCAGGACATAGGCATAGGCAAGCACTTCATAACTAAAATGTCAAAAACATTTGCAACAAAAGCCAAAATAGACAAATGGGATCTAATTAAACTCCAGAGTTTCTGTAGATCAAAAGAAACAATCATTAGAGTGCACTGGCAACCAAAAGAATGGGAAAAAAATTTTCCAATCTACCCATCTGACAAAGAACTTATATCCAAAAATCTACAAATAACTAAAACAGATTTACAAGAAAAAAACAAACCCATTCAAAAGTGGGTGAAGGACACGAACAGACACTTTTCAAAAGAAGACATATATGAGGCCTACAAACATATGAAAAAATGCTCATGATCACTGGTCATTAGAGAAATGTAAATCAAAACCACATTAAGATACCATCTCAGGCCAGTTAGAATGGCGATCATTAAAAAATCTGGAGACAACAGATGCTGGAGAGGATGTAGAGAAATAGGAACACTTTTACACTGTTGGTGGGAGTGTAAATTAGTTCAACCATTGTGGAATACAGTGTGGCAATTCCTCAAGGACCTAGAAATAGATATTCCATTTGACCCAGCATTCCATTACTGCATATATACCCAAAGGACTTATAAATCATTCTATTATAAAGAAACATGCACATGTATGTTCACTGAGGCACTGTTTACAATAGCAAAGACTTGGAACCAACCCAAATGTCCATCGATGATAGACTGGACAAGGAAAATGTGGCACATATACACCATGGAATACTATGCAGCCATAAAAAATGATGAGTTCATGTCCTTTGTAGGGACATGGATGAATCTGGAAACCATCATTCTCAGCAAACTGTCACAAGAGCAGAAAAACAAACATCGCATGTTCTCACTCATAGATGAGTGTTGAACAATGAGAACACATGGACACAGGAAGGGGAGCATCACACACTGGCGTCTGTTGTTGGGGAATATATAGGGAGGTTGGTGAGGGATAACGGGGAGAAATGCCAGATATAGGTGACAGGGGGATGGAGGCAGCAAACCACATTACCATGTATGCACCTATGCAACAATCCTGCATGTTATGCACATGTACCCCAGAACCTAAAGTACACTAAAAAAAATATGTAAACTTAAACACTAAAATTGGTTTGAACTATGAAAACTACTTAAGGTATTGCTTTACTCTTAATATATTACAAGACATTATAATTTTTTGTGCAAAGTTCAACTTTTTTATTTTTATTTTTTGAGACGGAGTTTCGCTCTTGTTACTCAGGCTGGAGTGCAATGGTGCTATCTCGGCTCACTGCAACCTCCGCCTCCTGGGTTCAGGCAATTCTCCTGCCTCAGCCTCCCGAGTAGCTGGGATTACAGGCACACGCCACCATGCCCAGCTAATTTTTTGTACTTTTAGTAGAGACGGGGTTTCACCATGTTGACCAGGATGGTCTCAATCTCTTGACCTCGTGATCCACCCGCCTCGGCCTCCCAAAAGGCTGGGATTACAGGCGTGAGCCACCGCACCTGGCCCGCAAAGTTCAACTTTTATCGCGTCTCATTGTTTTTAGCTTTCTCTCCCTTTTTAAAAGGCCTGAAATGATAACTCTATCCTTCAACTCATTTTCAGCTCCTGTGAGTTGTTTTGTTTTTCCTTTGGATTTTAACTGTTGTGGCCTGACACTAAAAAGCAACAAGAAAAGTTATATCTTAAACGTTAAAGGAAATGTTTCCTTTCAACATAATATTCCCATAGGGAAGTCTTTTCCTTTGCCTTTGTGTAACTGGCCTAATAAATGACCTTATGCTTTATTGAAATAATTCCTAGGTTATTAAGTTTGGTTTGCTTAGGAAAAACTGAGATTAAATTTTTTTTAATTAAGGTTATTACATCTGTGTAACTTTCTGTGTATGCTTTTAAAGTCCTTGTGCCATTAAGTTACAGGGCTTTGACTCAGGTCTAAAAAGGACAAGTCCTGCTAAATCTTAACACTGACAGCAGTTAAAACCTCATATTCAGACCCAGTAGAAGAAGCCAATCAAAATAAACTGTGTTCATGAAACACAGGGCCAATAATTAAAGCTGTTCAGCCCCTCAGGGACCAGGGACTATCACAGAAGAGGTGGGTGCATGAGATTTTAAGGGCCCGCCCTTTTTTTTTTTTTTTTGCTGTTGTCCCAGGTTTATTGAAAATAATACAGCATTGATTCAAACAGGTCCCCGAGGCGTTTTGAAATTCATCCCAACTGTAGGCTGAGTGACCTGCAGGTTGGATAGACTGCCAAAATCCAAAAGCTTCAGCATTTCCTTAGTGTCAGGATCTACTTCAATGATCTCCTGATCCAGGGCTGAGACCTCAGGAACATAATTGTCTCTCCTTTCTCTCTCCTCCTCCTGCAGCTTGATAGAGATACCTCTTACTGGGCCTCTCTGAATCCACTTCATCAGATGTATGACATAGCCTGCTATCGTGTTGCGGAGCTTCTTGCTAGGGATAATGGCGATCTCCTCGCGCGTAGAAAAGTACTACACGCGCTTGTTTGTGTGGAAGTCGTTGCCCAGGCGCGTGTAGTACTTTTCTAAGATGACCCGGGCCGCCTTCTTCACGGTTTTGGTGTGAACACGGCCCATGTTGGCGGGTCTTTAGTGAAAGATTTTGAGAAATAAAATAAGTTCATTCATTCTCTTTACATTAGCCATTAATGTCAAAGGCACACTGATGCAGAACCAGCATATGGGCCCCTCTGTCAGATTAACAAGGTTTTCTTGAAGCATTAACTCACTCCTTAATAAAGGCTTTTGGAAATTATATCTTACCATCAATGATTAAAATGTTATACAGTGTTTATAAATTTTTGAAAACAAATGTAACAGCCTCATGCTATTTTTATTAGGGCTTATTGTTTGGAAAATTAACTCTCCTCTCCCAAAGAATAAAAGTTTTTGCCTTTCTTGGGAAACCTTTGCATTATCAGTTTGGTTAAATGAATGACTTATCTTACAATGACCTGTGATCCTATTTTGTGATATCAACCATTTTAAATCTTTGATACGTGACAAACTTTCCAAAGTCAAATTATTAATTATATATTTTTCTGACCTAATTAATCCTTTAAGATATTAGTTTCCCTAAAGTCCAAAAATGACATATTTGGCTTATTTGGTATAAAAATCATAATAGAAGCACTGTCAAATATGATGAAATGGTGTTTGGCTTTCTTTGGGTTTATTTGTATAAATATGTAATTTGTATGTTTTCCAAAATAATGGGAATGCCTATAATCCTGATACAACTTTTGTTAGCAATAATAATTATAATTGTTATGCTAAATTTTTATGTGCAACAGAGGTAATAAATGTCCTTGTCAATTGTGTCTTTGACTGTGGCTACTCTCAAAGTTTTTGTCATCCATGGACATTGTTGTCTCGTTTTAGTCCTCTTTAGAAGGTAGTTTTATAATCAGCTATAAACTCTAACAGGTGTTCTTGAATGCAAGGTTCTGATAACTTTGGAGATTATGACATTAGAATAGAGAAAAAACTTTCAGGACTCTCATGGAGAGCTCAAATATTCATGAATATCAAGCAGAACAGGAGTTAACTGCATCAATTGAATTAATAGAAGACTGAAGTAATCTTTTTTTTTACTTTTTGCTTGCAACATAGCTGATCAACCAGCATGGCACATATTTACCTATAACAAACCTGCACATCCTACACATGTATTCTGGAACTTAAAATAAAATAACAACAACAACAAAACCCACAAAAATGTTGCTAATCCTTTGTTGTTGTGTATATATATATATATATATATATATTTTTTTTTTTATTGCAGTGAGGCTTACAGTGATGGAGGGGACACAGGTAGATAAATAAAAATAACAATACAATGTAATCAGTATTAGGACAGGGTAAGTATTAGGTCTTACAGGAGAATAGAACACTAGAGAGGGCTTTTAAAAAGACACAGTAATTAATCTGAATATTAGTGAAGATGATTTTTTAACAGTATGACCTAAAATATTACATGAGGAAGGCACATATACATTGTATTAGCTCATTGGGAATAGTCGACTAGGTGGACAAAAGTGGTAGAGGAAAGGGAATTCCAGGAAGATGTAGTAGTGTCTGGTGAAGTATAGAGATATAAAACTCCAGAGAATGGCCAGGAAATTATGAGTAATTTGGTATGCCTGAATTTCTAGAAAAAGAACCCACTGAATTGCTTATTTTGATGCTATAGTTTCATTCATCTCTTAAGGTTAATATGTTTTTCTAATTCCCGTCAAGTAGTTTGATTTGTTATTTATATTTTATTCCTCACCTCTAATTTTACAAAAATAAACTAAACCTTAAAGAAGATGAATAATTTTCATACACTCACACGTCTAATGATTGAGTTGGTACTCAAATCCAGGCCTGATTTCAAACCTCTTGATGGCAATGCTATCCTACTACTTAAATTCAGAAGCTCAGATAATTTTGCAAAAAGATTTACTTGAAAGGGATGGGAGAAACAAGAACTTGGTTTGGACTTGGGCAAGGACTAAAACAAAGTTGCATTGTTAGAAATAATTTATATTTAAATTTGGAAGAAAATGTACTACATTACATTATAAACAGGTTATTAATATAAAATCAATGCCAAAGAATTTTATACAAGCTTTTCTACTTCTTTTTTATGTCAACAGAATTAATAATGAAGAAGGGACCCAGTTACACTGGAAAGAAATATGTTGATATTTGGGAATAAATATTTCTTAATTTTAAAATATTTATCATTTTTAAGTAAACAATGCTATGGTTCAATTTCCATACTTCTATCAATGTAGGTTTTTGTTTTTATTGTTTCCAGTATTTCCTTGAATATCCATTAGTGTTTACTAAGTTTTTAAAAAATTCTAGCCATAGTTAAGCCAGAATATTGAAGGCAAAAAAACGTATCTCAGTGGACCAGTATACAATGGAGGTAGAGGAAATTTGATTGATCACTTGCCCTTCCCAAAAGGGAAATAAGCTATAGTTAAAAGCTTAAAATAAGCTATAGTTTAAAAAAAAAACTATAGTCTTATCTTTAATCTCCAAGAATATGGGATGGAAAAGACAGCAGCAAGATTGTGTCTCCTTCTGCTAATAAAAAAGGTTTGAAGAGTGAGACAATGCAAAGGTATAAAAATCTGCCTATAATTTACCAGTTAGTAAGGTGGCTAGTGTTTCATAATTTTAAAAAGTGATCTAGAGGTCTTTCTCAGGAGTGGCTATAATTCTTGCCGTATCCTAATGGGACTCCAGGGAGGTGGTTGTAGATGTTTACAGTGTGCGTTTCATGGGATAGTTCTTTTTTTTTCTGTACAGAAGAATTTCCTTTTTAAAAAAAAATCATACTATAAGTTCTGGAGTACATGTGCAGATCATGCAGGACTGTTACATAGGTATACACATGCCATGGCTGTTTGCTGCATCCATCCCCCGTCACCTACATTAGGTATTTCTCCTAATGTTATCCCTCCCCAATCACTCCACCACCTGCTATCCCTCCCCTAGCCCCCCTACCCATCAACAGGCCCGGGTGCGTGATGTTCCCCTCCCTGTGTCCATGTGTTCTCATTGTTCAACACCCACTTATGAGTGAGAATATGCGGTGTTTGGTTTTCTGTTCTTGTGTCAGTTTGCTGAGAATGATGGTTTCCAGATTCATCCATGTCCCTGCAAAGGACAATGTATAGAAAGCTGACACTGGACCCCTTCCTTACACCTTATACAAAAATTAACTCCAGATGGATTAAATATTTAAATGTAAGATCTAACACCATAAAAACCCTAGAAGAAAACTTGGGCAACACCATTCAGGACATAGGCATAGGCAAGGACTTTATGACTAAAACACCAAAATAGACAAATGGGATCTAATGAAACTTAAGAGCTTCTGCACAGCAAAACAAACAATCATTAGAGTGAACCAACAACCAACAGAATGGAAAAAAAGTTTTATGATTTATTCATCTGACAAAGGGCTAATATCCAGAATCTACAAATAACTTAAACAAATTTACAAGAAAAAACAACCCCATCAAAAAGTGGGAAAAGGACACTTTTCAAAAAAAGACATTTATGCAGCCAACAAACATATGAAAAAAATGCTCATCATCACTGGTCATTAGAGAAATGTAAATTAAAACCATATTGAGATACCATCTCACACCAGTTAGAATGGCAATTGTTTAACAATCTGGAGACAACAGATGCTGAAGAGGATGTGGAGAAATAGGAACACTTTTACACTGTTGGTGGGAACGCAACTTAGTTCAACCATTGTGGAAGACAGAGTGGCAATTCCTCAAGGATCTAGAAATAGAAATACCATTTGACCTGGCAATCCCATTACTGGGTATATGCCCAAAGGATTATAAATCATATTATAAAGACACATGCACACATATGTTCATTGCAGCACTGTTTACAATAGCAAAGACGTGGAACCAACCCAAATGCCCATCAATGGTAGACTGGATAAAGAAAATATGGCACATATACACCATGGAATACTATGCAGCCACAGGATAGTTCTTTATCCTGGTTGACAGTCTAATGCCTAAGTGTCTAACTTGTGACCAGGTGTCCCTCTCACAGGAAATTTGTTTATATTGTGGCCCTTATGTGACCTGAGTCCATTTTTCCTACCAAGATAGCCATTCTCTAGGAGAGTCCTGACCTTTAGGAGAGCCTTCTGCTCTGTCTAGGACAGAAGCTAGATTCAGGTGTTTTGGTCAGGTAAGACACAAAGGAGGCAGCACAGCAAAACACATAACAGAAAAAGTTGTATTACTTACAGATCCCCCAAGGGAAGAGGGCAGCATGCTTCACAGAGCCTGTTGGAAAGAGGGAACCATCCAGGACATATGTACTCAACCAACAGGTAAAGAACAAGAGAAAGAGAGAGGACCTATGGAACAAGCCTTTATTGGGTCCCGGGATATTACCCAGGCAGGTTTCCCAAGGGGAATTTTAATGGATGGATTTAAAGTAAGAAAGCATGAGTTCTGTGGGGCACTCTGTCACTGAGAGGTGGTCACTGTGGTGTATCTGCTGTCCATGCAAAGTGTGGGGGTCAGTGGGGTAGGTCATGTAGGTTGTATCTATCTACATGTTTCACAGGGAGGTGGTCACTAGGAGGCAATTGTACAAGGCAGATATCTAGATTGACTATACGGAGGAGCCAGGATGAGGTGGGGAATTGAAAACTGGGTCAAGGGTAACTAAGCTCTGTTTCTGCTATGAGAAAGTCCAATCGGTATTCAAATGGATGCTTAGGCACCACGAAATCATAGGAATTCACTACACATGTTTTTAAAATACCGTAAAGACTCTATTCACAGTAGCAATAAAAACTATAAAATATTGAATAAATGAAACAAGAAATCTACAAAATTGATTTTTTAAACTAGAAACTTAAACATGTAAAACATCCAACGAAATGAAGACATACGATGTTCCTGGATAGGAAGACACAATATTGTAAACAAAGCAATTCTGATTCAAATCTCCTCATTTTTTAAAAATAAATCTCAATTAGCTTATTCCAAAAATTACAAAAAAGTTTTATAAACATTAAATTTTAAAAAGAATAATAATG